TCTAGAATAGTCTGTAGTTGTCATCTATACTATACTAGATGACGTCATCTTTAAAAGTCAATGCCTCTCATCACTTATTTCATCTTTCGTCTACCCATCTTTACCCAATATATTTATAGGTATAAAAATATATATACAGTTTAAATCAAGGAAAACATGTATAAATCGTTCATCTAGCATAAATATCAGGAACACAGATAATACGCACATATATCATGTATTTATATAAAATACTTCATATCTATGTGTAAGATGAAAGTAACTATGCACTCACTTGTTAAAGTGATGATTCGAAATTCAGACAGTGCTTCGCTTCTAGCAATTTTCTTTTCCTTTGACGTAACCTAGTATCATTATCACTAAGTCTTAGTCTAATATTTATTGCGACTAATTATTTGTCTAGATTCATCATTAATTCAAAGTCTACTTCAAGATCTATCAAGTAAGGAACAACCAGGTAGGATCATATCAGAGGTAGAGTCCGTTTGGTATACAAAGTATACTATTTGGAAATCCCACTTTAACCACCTCACTAAATCCATGTTAGACATCATCTCCGTAAGTATACAACATCTAATGGTATACATTTCCTTTAATCTCCCATCAGATCCAAACATCATCTCCCATCAGATCCAAACATCATATACCTTCATATTGATACCTTTGATACAAAGAAACCAAGTGGGTCAGGTTGGGAAACCTGGTGAGTACATAGGGTTTTCAAACCAAATAATATAGTTAATTTGATTAATTATTTACTTCATATTAAACAATTAACCTGATTACCCATCCCCATCTTCTTACATCTTCAACCCTAAGGACCTATCCTAATGATCATCATGGCTGAGAGTGCTCTTACATGGATTTCTCTGCAATACATATCAGTAGGAAGTAGGGTACATCTTATGAACATTAAGTTCATCACCTACTCGTTTTGCGGACCTGCGTGTGTTCTACGACACTGCTTTGAATAGTCCATGGTTGTCACCAATACCTGGCTAGATGACTACATCGTTGATACAAAAGTACCAGTTCCTATATCGTTAGTACAATGGTACCGGTTCCTATATCGTTTTCGTCTCACATCGCTCATGACCCTCATCATTATTCATCTTCTATTTCCTATCATCCTCATCATTACTTATTTTTATCACCCATTACTACCCAATGTATTAAATATGTATATACAGTAATATCATATAAACATCATCTTATAATACTTCATCTAACACATAACATATTGATCAGATAAAAAGCACATATAACATTTAATTGTATAAATACTTTATATCTATATGTAAGATGAAAGTAACTATGCAATAACTTGTTAAAAGTGGATGACTGGAAAGTTCGCAATTCGCTTCAGTACTTAGCTTTTCCTTTGATGCAACCTAGGTTCATATCACTAAGTATTAGTCTTATATTCATGGAGACTAATGATAGTCTAGATTCCTCACTAATCTCATTGTCTACATCAAGATCTATCAAGTATGGAATAACCAGTTAGGATCATATCGGAAGTAGGGTCTGTTTGGTATACAAAGTATACTATTTAGAAATCTGACTTTAAACACCTCACTAAATCCAGCCTAGACATCACCCCCGTAAGTGGAATCACTAGTAAATCTTACTTATAGGTTCATAATAACGACTATGAATATAAATATAAGTTACAATAAAAGTGATACAAGTGTATCTTAACTTATAGAGATTTTCCTGACAAAATTCTAGAAATTGCACTGACAGAGTTCCGAATCGAGAGCTTCTATTTTCCGGGCACTCCGATCCTCCAGATCCAAGATAAAACCCTAAAATCTAAGAAATTTTGGAAATTTTAGAGAGATATAGCCAGAGAGGAGTTCTGGTGGAGTGAGGAATGGATGTGAGGTGTTGCTCTATTTATAGGGTAGATTTTGAGTTTGCGTGTCGCACGTTTAGATGTGCGCAACGCACACTCCATCCACGTCGTTCCTCTCGCCTGGTGACACATGTCGAAAGTATTATGGGCCACATCCACTTGTTAGTGCGTGTCGCGCACCGCACGTGCTCAGGCGCGTCCAAAATTTAAAAACTTTAAAAAATCGTATATTCTTCATACGAACTTCGTTTTTGACGTTCTTTATATTCACGTGTAGCTATCGATGAGATCTACAACTTTCATTTAGACTCTGTTAGCTAATTCTTACTTTATTTTTAAGGTTATATTTTTACAGGCTTAGACTGTTAAATTCCGTATAAAAATCATAACTCTCTTATATCACAGTCGTTCTTTATTGTCCTTTTATCGACGAGATCTTTGACTCTCGTTTCGATTGTTATTCATAACAATCGACCGATCTTAAAGATCGATTTCTGTGTCGTACATTGCTATGCTAAGCTTTGGAAAATCATAATTTCCTCATATGAAGTCAGATTTGGACGTTCTCTATATGCACACCCTCGGTTTTACGATTACTATGACTTTCTTCTAGATCATTTATCCTAAATAATATTTTATCAAAATATATGTTTATGACATGGTGAATAATTATCCTATTATTCTTTAATCATCTAGCCTTATCTTGCAGGTGTTGAAATCTGAGAGCTTTAGTAGTGTGATAAGGAATGCAAGGAAAAAGCCAATCATCACAATGTTAGAAGAGATTAGATTATATGTTATGGAGAGGCTATTTCATTTGAACATCAAAGCTAGGTCATGCCTGATTACAAACCTTACCCAACAATTACCCTTCTACTCAATCAATTGAAGAGAGCTCAAAGGTATTTTATATGCATTAAAGTCCTAATTGTAAAATGATACTAACTTATGTTCTATCTCAAATACATATTGGCATGTTTTACCAAGTGGTCTAAAACCAATTTGAAACAAGAAACTTGGTAGAGTTCTATGTTGTTGATCTAGATAAGAAGACTTGTACTTGTAGAGTGTGGAAACTTAATGGGTATGGATGCATGCATTCCGTTGCTACTATCACATATGTTAATAGAGATTTTGTCACTTATGTGGATCCAATGTACTATGATGCCTTTTACAAGAACACTTATAAGTACCAAATAAATGGGATGAATGGTAACAATATGTGGCCCACCTACTGACTTCATACCGCATTTTCCACCATTGAAGAGAAGAATGCCTGGTAGACCTAAAGTAAACAGAAGAAGAGATGCATATGATAGGCTTCTAATACACACTGTATCTAAGGTAGGGAAAAATATCTTGTGCAATGTGTGTAAACAAGCTGGACAAAACAAGGTAACTTGTCCTAAATTTCAGAAGCTTCATGTTGAAAGACCCACAAAACAAAAGGTTAAGAAAAAGGAAACAACAGGGAGGGAAAAAGGTGAAGGAAGTAGTGGAACAAAACTAGTTGGTGACGAAGATAAAGGAGCAAAAGCAGTTGGTGAAGGGGATAGTGGAGCAAAACCAGTTGGTGATGGAGATCAAGGAGCAAAAGCAGTTAGTGAAGGAGATCGAGGAGCAAAATTAGTTGGTAAAGGGAAAAGAAAACAAATAAGAGAGAATTATCAAGATGAAACTTGCTAAGAGGGTTAAGGGAAAGGACGGGAAAGGAGATACTAGTGCAAACCCACTGGACCTTAATTACTAGGATATGTTTGTGATGTTGTTGTTATGTTTGGGTTTCTATATTCATGTACTTGTTAGCGTTGCTTTGTAATAGTTTAGATGTTTTCAAGTTACTATGATTGTTTGAGAAACTTTTGTCATGGTTTGTTTGTATGATAATAACTTGTAATGCACGTGCATGTTGCATGTAATATATTACTTTAAGGTACCATAAGGTCCTTGTACTTTAAGGGAACATGTTGTCCTTGTATTCTAAAGTGGACACATATACAATAATTGTTAACAATTTGAAAATGGTATATATCAACGTACTTTATGTAATGCAATGGTAAACCTTAGCTTTATGTAATGCAATGGTAAACCTTAACTTTATGTTTGTTAACAAACACTACACAACGACTGTATCGTTTAAGAAGATCACATTAAGGGTAATAAAATAGGTTAGCATCATTACAATTACAACTTATCATTTAATAACATCACATTAAGGGTAATAAAACAAGTTTTACATACTTAAACGCAAACAATCTTCATTTCAATTACAACTTGTTCATACGTAAAACCCAAATAACTTTGATTACAACTTGTAAATAACTAAACCCAAAAAAACCCAACTGCAAAATAAGATCAACTTCAACTTCAAAACTTCTGATTCCAGCTTCTTCTTCGACCTAAGCAGTCCACTTATAATCATTGATTCACTGTTGCACTTTACTTTAACAACCCAAGCTATAAAACCTGATCGGGCTCCCTGATAATGAAACTAGGGTTATAATTACAAAATGATTATGAAACTAGGGTTACAATTACAAAATGAAAACCTACAATTTACCTTGTTTGGACATGAGTAAAATGGTCTTTCGGGGTTAGTGTTATCTGTGATGTTGTACAACACTTCCACACCAAATTCCATCTGCTCGATTTTATTGGATCTCAGTCAGGAGTTCATTGAAGGAGAAAAACAAAGTTAGAGATCCTTTTTACTAAAATATCATTGTTACACATTTTAGTAGGGAGAAAGGACAAAAAAAATCCCTAGCATGCAAGGCGCATGGGGTTCACTAACCTATTACTGTTTGCTTCTTCTTCGTTTGCATGTTAGGATGTCAAATATATATATATTATATATATATATATATATATATATATATATATATATATATATATATATATATATATATATATATATATATATATAACAGTGAAAAATCCAAAATTTTACATACAAAATGCCTAAGATGAACTCAGGTCTTTTTCATTAGCCATTGCAACAACGGTTACAAAATGCATGTCATCAACACATGTCTTTTTACATTCATCCAAAGTTAGCACCAAAAAAAATTATAACATATATATATATATATATATATATATATATATATATATATATGCTTCATAATGTACCACTAACACTTCATCCAAGCTTCATAACGGTGTGGAGCAGAACAACCATTATCCTGAGCATGGCCACCATCATGCCGCCCATCACCAGAACAAGAGCTTGAAACTTCCTGTCATGGTCTTCCAACTTACGCTGGAGACTAATGTGATCAACCCTATAGAAAATAAAATCTTGGGCAAGCTCCTCTTTCATCCTCTGCATCTCGCTTCGATTCGCTTCAATCTTCTCTCCGTAATCGCACAAAATGGAATGTAGGTCATTGTAGTTGAGAAACTCCACCGAATTTATGGAGTCGGGTGATGGAGGTGGTGGAAACGACATTACGTGGATTTAGGGTTCTGGTCGGAGAAGTGTTTGCCCAAATAAGGTAAAGAACTTGTAGGATTCATTAGCTTAAAGCCTACATAGGTTTGTCCTATTTTTTATGCCCATACCACCGAGATAACTTGGGCTCTAAGGTTGGTTGGAGGATTGGTGGAAGTAAGTGGGTGTAATAACTGTTGGCTTACCTGGCAACAACAAGTCAACTCACCACTGAGTCATTGTTGACTCACCTGCTTATTTGGCAGCTGACAAGGCAGTTTAACCTTCTAAAATGGGTAAAGGTATTAAATTAACCGGTAAAAAACAAGTTCGTACCCTTCAAAGAAAAAAAAATCACGAGAGACCATTTAAGCCAATATACTAAACATTGTTGGGCTATAGTGACAATAACCCAATAATGTATGGTAATTGATATGGTGTATTACAAAACTTTCCTCATGTGTAACTTTTAAAAACTTCCTCATACCCTGGCTCATAATTTGGTATGGAGCAGCCGACTTGCCTCTGTTATACCCTCATTCAGATTATGCATAATATTAACACCATTCAACCACTATCGGATTATAGAGTAAATGCTTGGTAATCTTCAATTTCAAATTTCTCTTTCTTCCATCATTCTTTCTTTTTCTCTATTTATCTTCAATGTTTGTTTTTGCACTAAAGGTGAGAACTCATCGTTGAATTTGCTTTATTTCTATATATCTTTTTAAATATCTCTGAATGAATCAAAAATAGAATTTCTTTAGGTATTTCTTTTGACTTTGTTTGTTTTTGTTGAAGGATATTATGCTTTGTGATTAATAGTAATCAATCAGCCTTATAATGATTGCTAACTTGCAGTTGTAATTGAGGTGGGGGTGTCACGAAAACTTTTGTCTGAGGTAAGCCTAAACCCTTTTTACGAAACCATACCTCATTTGTGTCTTTTAAACATTTGAAAAAAAATACAACACTTTTGTCTTTGATCTTTGTAATGTATTGTCATTTTTGTTTTAGAAATTTTTGCCGAATGCATTTTCCAAAGGTGTTAGATCCCGATATGCAAAATGTCATATAATTGGAACAGGTAATAACATCTCATGTTTAATTATTTATGTTATTGGTATTGTACTTTTAACTTTTATCTAATTATAGAATTGTAGTTTCATAATTGTTTTATTAGGATATTTTAATATGAAAAATGTAATCAAATTTAGCAATAAGGATTGCTTTGTATATGAAGAAAAATTGCTATATTGAGTACCTTTTCCAAAATATTATGCTATAATTGGAAGAGAACATATAAAAATTTTATTTAAACAAATAGCATATGATAAAAATATACATTTACGATCTAATACTTTGGTTTTTGCAGATCGAATGCATTCAAGTTTAGACCAACTATTTGTATTCTGATCAGCAAGATTATCCATACAAAGCTCCAGATTTTTTAGGGTGGGCCCCACGAGTGAGAGCCATGAGGTCAGCCCTGTAGTAAACTACAAGCTCTTCAAGTTACAAGATGCCACATCTTTAGCATTGTTCATGTTTAATGAAATGTATTGGACTATAGCTTCTAGTAATGAGCCCATTCTCTGAGGATAATAATCAAATATGTGATAGATTTTGTTATAATTTGATTCATCCTCTCAAATTTAAAAATCATAATGGTTTTTAACTATCTTTAGGATAATGCATTTAGGTGGTTTTGTTTTGGTTCCTAGTATGTTTATTCCTACACAAAGTCAGTTCCATGTTTGCTTACATCCATTTCATGTTTCTTTACATTCGTTTCATGTTTTCCACTTTATTGCTTTCATGTTTTTTCAGGTATCGTTATGGTACTAAATTAGATGATGTGAATGCATATTTTTTCGTTTATAACTACTTTGTTGCATCAACAAGTAAAAAGTGAGATTTAGTCAACCAATTCACTCACATGCATAAGATTTCTCTTTCTTATCATGTACATATCTAAATGTTGTTTATAAGTGAATTTTTTTGTTTCATTATTATTCCAGGTGAGGAAAAAGTGAAAGCAGAGTTTGTTACAAAACCATATAGAATATACCTGTAGGGTCTGGAAAAAATACACAAAGTCTATTGCACAATTGTAATTATGAAGGTTAGAAACCTATATTATATGAAACTTGATTCATGTTTGATATGTTCTATGTTATTTTCTATTAATGTTTTATCATAATTTTCCAATTTGTAGTTTTTGAAGCATGCAATGGATTAATATTCAATTAAATGACTATTCATTTTTTAATGAAAAACTATGTTCATCAAGCTACCGGTCATTAGTGAGCAACGTTCTCGACATGAAAGTAGGATGCTATATTAAAAGGGATATCTCCAGAAAAGTCCCAATATTTTGGGCAAATTTTTAATAAAGTCCTAAATTTTATTTTTTGAATAAAAAAGTTCTGACATTTTCACCTTTTGAATAAAAAAGCCCAAGAAACCGGCTAATTTATTCACTTTAGCCCTTTTTGACATGTTCAGCAGGTCATGGTACCAAATTGTTAATTTTTCGAAAATAATGAGACTTTTTTGCAGATTTCGTCAAAAATTTTATATAAATGTATAACATATTTTTTACATATCTATATCTATTTTTATGTATTTTGTCTTTATATTTTTTTATATGTATATATTTACGTATTTTTATGTATTTTAAATGTATAAACGTATTTTTTTACTTATTTATATGTATTTTTAACCATTTTACATATTTTTTTATGTATTTTTATGTGCTATTTTTTATGTATTTTGTATTTTTATATATTTTTATGTATTTATGTATTTTTTAAACTTTTTATATAGATGTTTATGTATTTTAGGTGTATAAACGTAGTTTTTACGTATTTATATCTATTTTTAAGTATTTTACATATTTTCTATGTATTACGTATTTATGTATTTTTTAAGTTTTTTATATAGATGTTTTGTATATTTGTGTATTTTAAATGTATAAACGTATTGTTTTTACGTATTTATATGTTTTTTTAAGTATTTTACATATTTTTTGTGTGTTTTTATGTGTTTTTATCTATTATGTATTTTATATATTTTTGCGTATTTATGTAATTTTTTAGTTTTCTTATATGATGTTTATGTATTTTTATGTATCTAAATGTTTAATCACGTAAACATAATACAATTAATCATTTAATATACATAAAATACATAAACATCTATATATGAAACACAAAAAATACATAACTACGTAAAAATACATATAAATACATAATACATAAAAAAACACATAAAACACAACAAAAAATATGTAAAATACTTTTAAAAATACCTATAAATACGTAAAACAATACGTCTATACATTTAAAATACATAAATAGAAAAACATCTATATAAAAACACTTAAAAAATACACTAAATACGTAATACATCAAAAATATGTAAAATACTTAAAAATAGATCTAATACGTAAAAAATATGTTTATACATTTTAAAATACATAAACATCTATATAAAAAGCTTTAAAAAGTATAAAATACGTAAAAATACATAGAATTACATATAAATACATACAATAAAAAAAACACATCATACATAAAAAAAAATATGTAAAATGGTTTGAAAATACATATAACCTAAGTAAAAAAATCTGTTTATATATTAAAATACATAAAAATACGTAAATATATACATATAAAAAATACAAAAAATACACAAATACATAAAAATAGATATAGATATGTAAAAAAAATATGTTTATACATCATATAAAAATTTTGACGAAATCTGCAAAAAAATCTCATTATTTTCGAAAAATTAACAATTTCGTCACATGACCTACTGAACAGGTCAAAAAAGGGCTAAAGTGAATAAATTAGCCGGGTTTCTTGGGCTTTTTTTATTCAAAAGGTGAAAATGTCAGGACTTTTTTATTCAAAAAATAAAATTTAGGACTTTATTAAAAATTTGCCCAAAATATTGGGACTTTTCTGGAGATATCCCTTACAAATAAATAATGTCTTGTTCTTTGTTTTCAATCTATGGAGTTTTCGACACCAATTTCTTCCACAAAGTAAGACTTGTACAGTTTCGGGATTCAAAGATGCTTTATATTAGGGGCAAGTCAATGAAGGGCTTAGGCGGGTCACTTGACATACCTAAGTTTTAAAATTTTATAATAAATTATATAAAAATAATTTTATGGACTACCTTAAATATTTGGAGTGACCTGCCTTATTTTGTTTGAAATAAAAAATACAAATCGAGATTTCTAAAGCCCGCATCTTATATTTTAGTAGCCCAAAAATTCAATTCATTTACAATATTATACAATTTAAAATTAAATAAAGGAAAAAAGGAAAAGGAATTAAAAAATAATCAAACATGGTAATTGGAATACATCAGTGCCATTTCGTTCTTACTCCACCATCACGTTTCACGTACGTACGTAAGGGCACAAGACTGTTCAAGTGATCGACGATTACTTAGAAAGCCACCATCACGCCAACTGCCGCCTCTGACACCTTCGACGGCCTTTGGCCTCCTCCTGTGCTAGTCTGTATCATCCCTCAACAGTCTCTGATATAGTTATGAGCATATTTCAGCATATAAGATCTTGTAGGGTACAATTGTAAGAAATTTGGATTTTTTTTCTTATACGATATTACGACCCGACCCGCTACTAGAATATTTTTTGGTACTCTTTCATTTCAATCGATTTCACTTAAATAGTGAACCACATTGATTTCTGTTCTCGACTCACCATTGCTCTTTATGTGTCAATAACTTTACTACCCATGGTAAAAGTAGCTTCTGCTGCAACAATAGTGCGAGGGATCGCTAGTATATCTCGAGCGATACCAGATAATATATGACACTTTAACGGATTTGACCACCATCATTGTAAAGCATCAATGAGTGTTGGAGCGAATTGACAAATGTAACAACCATCCTCAAGATAATTATCTAACTATGATTTTTGTGGCTGAACATTATAAATTGACCTTACAAATTGAGCAAACTCGGACTACTTGGAA